GTGCGCCCAGTGTAAGGCGCCTAGACATCTACCTAGGGGTAAGTTACTACCCCTGCCCGTTCCACAACGACCATGGTCTCACCTCTCGGTGGATTTCCTCACTGACCTTCCTCCTTCACAGGGGAATACCACTATACTGGTCGTTGTGGACCGGTTTTCTAAGGCCTGTCGTTTTCTCCCTATGCCGGGCCTTCCTACTGCCCTGCAAACCGCCGAAGCACTATTCACCCATGTGTTCCGGCACTACGGGGTACCCGAGGATATTGTGTCTGATCGAGGTCCCCAATTTACCTCCAGAGTCTGGAGAGCTTTTATGGGGCGGTTGGGGGTCTCGGTGAGCCTCACCTCGGGTTACCACCCGGAGAGTAATGGGCAGGTGGAACGTGTGAACCAGGATGTGGGTAGGTTTCTTAGAACATACTGCCAGGACCGGCCGGAGGAGTGGGCAAGGTACGTTCCCTGGGCCGAAATGGCCCAGAATTCCCTACGCCATTCCTCCACTAACCTAACCCCTTTCCAATGTGTGTTAGGTTACCAGCCGGTTCTGGCACCTTGGCAGCAGAGCCAGACCGAGGCTCCTGCGGTGGATGAGTGGGTGCGGCGCTCGGAGGAGACATGGAACGCTGCACACGTCCACCTGCAGCGGGCCCTCCGTCGTCATAAGGCGAGCGCCGATCTCCACCGCAGTGAGGGACCGGTGTACGCACCTGGTGATCGAGTCTGGCTCTCTACCAGAAACCTGCCCCTCCGCCTGCCCTGTCGGAAACTGGGTCGGCGGTTTGTAGGGCCATTTAAAGTCCTGAGAAGGTTGAATGAGGTGTGTTACAAATTACAACTACCTGTTGAGTATAAAAGTATTAACCCCTCGTTCCATGTGTCTCTTCTCAGGCCGGTGGTAGCTGGCCCACTCCAAGAAAGTGAGATCAGGGAGACTCCTCCGCCCCCATTGGACATTGAGGGGGCACCGGCGTACTCCGTGCGGTCCATCTTGGATTCGAGACGTCGGATGGGGGGTCTCCAATATCTAGTGGAGTGGGAGGGGTACGGCCCGGAGGAACGGTGCTGGGTGCCGAGGAGAGACATTTTGGACCCGTCTCTCCTGACGGAATTCCATCGTGGGCACCCGACGCACCCTGCTCCGCGTCCTCCTGGTCGTCCCCGAGGCCGGAGTCGGCGCACGTCTGGAGCCGCGCGTCAAGGGGGGGGTACTGTCACGGTTTCGGCCGAGGCTGCCTCTCTTCCTTGCTCGGGCAGGCTTCGGCGTTCGTCGTCTCCGGAATACTAGCTGCCACCGTTGCATGTTTCTATGTTCGTTTGCTTTTGTCTGATTGTTGTTACACCTGTTATCGTTTAGTGTAATTAGTGTCCTATAAGTTCTCATTGTGTTTGTCTAGTGTTGTGTGTTATTGTTTTCACTGTCGTGCGTATTGCTTGTGTCTCTACAGTTTGCTCGGTTGAGCTGCTCTCCATTTGTACTTTGGAGTATTTTGTCGCACGTGTTTCGTGCGCCTGTTTTATTTCGCCTGCGTGCGGAGTTTCTCGCCTCAGGGCATTTGTTTTCGTGCTGTGCTTATTGCAAAAAACCACTAAAGTCTTTTGACTTACTTTGTGCGTCCTGCGCCTGATTCCACCAGCACACCCACCTACAGCTACACTGACAGTTATTGTCACCATAAAAGGTGAATGGAGGGCGTTATTGTCACCATAAAAGGTGAATGGAGGGCGTTATTGTCACCATAAAAGGTGAATGGAGGGCGTTATTGTCACCATAAAAGGTGAATGGAGGGTGTTATTGTCACCATAAAAGGTGAATGGAGGGTGTTATTGTCACCATAAAAGGTGAATGGAGGGCGTTATTGTCACCATAAAAGGTGAATGGAGGGCGTTATTGTCACCATAAAAGGTGAATGGAGGGTGTTATTGTCACCATAAAAGGTGAATGGAGGGTGTTATTGTCACCATAAAAGGTGAATGGAGGGTGTTATTGTCACCATAAAAGGTGAATGGAGGGCGTTATTGTCACCATAAAAGGTGAATGGAGGGCGTTATTGTCACCATAAAAGGTGAATGGAGGGCGTTATTGTTGTTGTTGTACCCAGAATGCACAACCCATGTGGAATTCCTAGTCTCCGGCAGCTTTTGGAACTGCAGATCTGCGGGTGAAGAACGCTGAGTTCATCTCAGCCTATGTTGCCCTTCGGTCCCTACGCTAGACAGAAAAGGTGCTGTTTAGAACCTTGAAGGGTTCTTCAGCTGTCCCCATAGGAGAACCCTTAGAAGAACCCTTTTAGGTTGCAGGTAGAACTCTTCAACATCAACCTCGAGTTTGATGAGGACCCGAGTATGGCCCACGTCGACACCATCACCCCCTCTGTATGGCCTGCGTCGACACCATCACCCCCCTCTGAGTATGGCCCGCGTCGACACCATCACCCCCTCTGAGTATGGCCCGCGTCGACACCATCACCCCCTCTGAGTATGGCCAGCGTAGACACCATCACCCCCTCTGAGTATGGCCCGCGTCGACACCATCACCCCCTCTGAGTATGGCCCGCGTCGACACCATCACCCCCTCTGAGTATGGCCCGCGTCGACACCATCACCCCCTCTGAGTATGGCCCGCGTCGACACCATCACCCCCTCTGAGTATGGCCCGCGTCGACACCATCACCCCCTCTGAGTATGGCCCGCGTCGACACCATCACCCCCCTCTGAGTATGGCCTGAGTCAACACCATCACCCCCTCTGAGGTATGGCCCGCGTCGACACCATCACCCCCCTCTGAGTATGGCCTGAGTCAACACCATCACCCCCTCTGAGTATGGCCCGTGTCGACACCATCACCCCCCTCTGAGTATGGCCCGCGTCGACACCATCACCCCCTCATACACCTCCTTCGAGGTGAAGGAGCGACAGAAACTACCCTTCCCTGGATACAGACCGACTTCACTACACGGCTAAAGATTGGCCTCATCTTGTCAGCTATTTTAAAGACTATTTACTGCCGATCCTCAGAGCTGATGAGAGTATGTCCAGTATATACAGCAGGCATTCAATCCATGTATTGGATCTAGTGCTGAGACACATTTCATCCCTACAGGAAGTGTTTCACAAAAGCATTCAATCCATATATTAAATGCACTTTTTGTGAAAATGTTGTCCATGCGATGAATAGTTCAGTTATCGTTAAGTGTCTTTCAGACTGTACAGTGTGTTCTTCAATCAAATAAATTAGGATTAATGAGCCAGCTAATTGTTTTGTTTTTGTGATTTTGTGAGCACTAATCAGACTATTCTATTTTCTTCATGAAAGGTACATTTATCCATCTGAACCTTCAAAAGCCGGTTGCCTGTTTATAATGTATGTTACCGTGTTTATAATGTCTGTTACCGTGTTTATAATATCTATTACTGTGTTTATAATGTCTGTTACCGTGTTTGTAATGTGAATTACTGTCATTTCACCACTAGAGGGCAGGAGGTAATGCTAATCATTATGGAAGTGTATATCTGCATTTTTTTTAAATGGAAATGCAAATTAACTTATAAATCAATATCACGTTTTTCATTATTTCTCCATGTATATGCGCATAATCTCGGTTAACCCAGAACTAAAATCTTGCGTAATTTGGTTAGATGATCAATTACCATTTATTTTCACGTAGTCTGGCCACATGAGAATATTGTGTGCATTATCTGGCACAAAATTAAAATGCAAAAATTAGGTTTGTTGAATCCTGAGAACTTTGTTCATGAGAATTTTCCGCACAGTCACCAAAGTGTTCTCTCTCCATTGCTACCATGGTTATGCATATGCTTCTCATATTTGTTTCTTTTCTAAACATTTCAATGTGGGCTTGTCCATACAGGCCAATACCCCCGAGTGTAAAGGGTTAAAACAATTATTTTGATGTTATGGATGGTCAGTCCTTGCATCCATAGCTCTGTCTATGAATTGTATGGCATCCCTCAGCTGTTTACCAAAAAAGTGACTGTTTTGTTGGGGTGTTATTGACGTTGCTTGAATCTCAGATTGCTCCTTTAATTCAAGTACAATATTTCTATGGTATGAAAAAAGCTGTTTTCTGAGTAATAAGTCCACAGTCACAAAGAAAGTTTATGTAGGTCAACATGTTTTTAATCAATGCTCAACATTTCACCATGAAAATCATATTTTATGCATCAAAGGAAATTGATAAGACTTTGGCCTTGTTTATTCAGCAGCTTCTTTTCCCTGTAAGAAGAAATACAGAATATAATGGATCAGTATTAATAATGAACATGATAAATATATGGATAGACTTGGATAGAATATAATGGATCAGTATTAATAATGAACATGATAAATATATGGATAGACTTGGATAGAATATAATGGATCAGTATTAATAATGAACATGATAAATATATGGATAGACTTGGATAGAATATAATGGATCAGTATTAATAATGAACATGATAAATATATGGACAGACTTGGATAGAATATAATGGATCAGTATTAATAATGAACATGATAAATATATGGATAGACTTGGATATAATATAATGGATCAGTATTAATAATGAACATGATAAATATATGGATAGACTTGGATAGAATATAATGGATCAGTATTAATAATGAACATGATAAATATATGGATAGACTTGGATAGAATATAATGGATCAGTATTAATAATGAACATGATAAATATATGGATAGACTTGGATAGAATATAATGGATCAGTATTATTAATGAACATGATAAATATATGAACACCTGGAAATAATATAATGGATAAAGCATTTAAGACTCAGCGCTCAGCTTTGATTTTGATTTTGAACCAACTAAATTTGGATTAATCTTTTATTTAGATTTTATATTAACCCTGTCCTGAAATGTGTTTTTCAGAGATCTTAAATACCTTTGAGTGAGTGTAAAATGTCAGTATTGACTACTGTGAAGAATGAATCATAGGTGGTGTTGATGTGGTCATATTTGAGTCAAGTGTACGTTTAGCAGCAGTTCTGTACCTTTCCAGTGTCGCGGGTCTTGGCTCTGAGCTTGTTGACCTGAGTCTCAGCGATGTCAGCACGCTCCTCAGCCTCCTCCAGCTCATGCTGAACCTTCCTGAACTTAGACATATGGCTATTGGCTGCTTCCTCCTGGGTGAGATAAACAGAGGAGAGCATAACATCAGTATTCAAAGTTTGAAGCTTCAGATAGCAAATTCATGTAATTTTTTAAAAGATATTACGAAAAATGTTATTGACATATTTAGGATAGCAATGTATATAGGGAGATAGATGATATAGCAGAGAAAGTCAGTGGTGGAACAGGGGATCAAACTGCTGCCTCCAGGGACATATGTAATATAGGGGCGGCAGCACTACCACTAGACCAGCCCCCGGCACTAAGCTAAATAATATTCAACCCCCTCTCTTTTAAATTGGTAACACATAGGCAGAGGAGTCACTGTGCATACATTTCTTCAGCAATTACTTGCACTATCAACTGAGTCATTGTTGACTGATGTGCAGTAGCAACACTTCAACTAAACTGTCTGGACATGATGTTTTGTAATGTCTACTAGGGAACGTAAGCTTTCAGAGTATTTGACTAAGTCTGTGACTCACCGCTTCCTCAGCCTGCCTCTTGTAGGCCTTCACTTTCAACTGCAGCTTATCTACCAGGTCCTGAAGTCTGCCAACGTTCTTCTTATCCTCCTCAGTCTGTGGGAGAAGATCAAAGAATCAATACCCCATAGTTTAATACACAAACCAGTGTGCTTTAGTGTGTGAAGAAGGCACATTTTCTTACCTGGTAAGTGAGCTCCTTGACTCTGCGCTCATACTTGCGGACTCCCTTGACTGCGTCTACACCTCTTCTCTGCTCGGCCTCCACCTCAGTCTCGAGCTCGCGCACCTTTGTGGAAGAAATAAAGGTAGGCATTTATGTGAGGTGGTGAAATCAGACGTAACAAATCTTTGTAAAAACAGAAGTATATTCTTCTGCTAGTCAAGGAGGCACAATTGTTGTCTCTTCCTATATACTTTTACAATTTTAATTAGAGGGTCTATAATGAAAACAACTACTTTTCCTTATGTAGGTGGGTTATTGAGAGAAAAAGTCATTAAACCAGTCTCCTGTGTATTTTTATATGATCACATGCATTTCCAGCAGTCTGTCTTTCAATCCACCCTGCTGTTAACTCACCCTGGACTCCAGTTTCTGGAGCTGCTTCTTGCCTCCCTTCATGGCCAGATTCTCAGCCTCATCCAGGCGGTGCTGCAGGTCCTTGACTGTGACCTCCAGGTTCTTCTTCATCCTCTCCAGGTGAGAGCTGGTGTCCTGCTCCTTCTTCAGCTCCTCAGCCATCATGGCCGCCTGGAATGGTACTTAGTTTAATTTACGCACCAACAGGCACCACTCATAAAGCCCCCTTGAGATCTTTGGTGAGGTTAACCAGCCCAGCTACCATTGGCCCTTGGGGACAAATCTAGTTGATGTAATTCAAGGACTCACGTCAGTGATGGCCTTCTTGGCCTTCTCCTCTGCGTTCCTGGCTTCCTGGAC